GAGGCAAGAGGCGATCAATAGAGAAAGAGAGCAGACAAGCTCCTCGCTGTCTCCCTGCTCTCTCTGTGTCTGTCTGTGTGTGTGTGTGTGTGTGTATGTATGTGTGTGTATATATATAGCAAACGCTCCGAGCACTGGAAGGCTCCCCTGTTTTAGTGTCTCCTGGTTCAGATGAATGACAAGCTACTCGCTTTCAGAAGCTCGCTCCCAGATAGGCTCAGCATAAAACCCCCATCGTTTTTAAAATATATTTTGATTGCACAAGAGAGGAAATTTCAGCTCCCCCTTTTCAAAAATATACTTTATTCGTCAGAAAAAAATCTATTTGTGTATATACATTGCCACAAATGCAGATCGGTTCTGTACAGTGGCGTATCAAGTCAACAAACATTAGGAACAAAAACAGAAATTGCGGGAGAAGCTCAGCAGGTCTGGCAACATCTATGGAAAGCAATCAGAGTTTAACGTTTCGGGTTGGAGTGACCCTTCCTCAGAACTCATGTTTCTGGTTTACAGCATCCGCAGTTCTTTCGCTTTTTAAACAAACATTGGCATTTGACTCTATCCCAACACACCATCTCTTACACATAGCAATGTTTCATTTTGAGATTTGTGCTTTCGGTCAGTTCGTCATACAGAGCCATTGGATCAATTCTTACTTTTCTGTGACTTCTGCTCAGTTATTTTGTTTGTTCAATCACTGGATATTTTGGAAAACATTTTTTTTTTAAAATTCTAGACTATATTTACATATGCGTGGGGTGGCTCTGACTGCCTGGAATGGCCCTATATTGAGGTATTAACCCCCACGACCCCCGCCTCACTTGTAATGCAGACTGACCATTTCGTTCTTTGCAATAAGGTTCCTCTTAATCCCTTCCAATCCAATTTTCAAATCAGATTTTTTAACCCGCCTCATCATAGAATGCTAATGACATTTTGTACTTCCCATTATTTTGACCAAGGAATATAATCATTCCAAATTTTCACATGGAGCTATCCCGATTTGAATTGGAGGGCAAAGGTAAACTTTTAATTTTAATTCCAATCATGAATTTAAAAGCCTTGATTTTCAACTCGTATAGAATGGGGTTAGGAGATGTGGTCAATATCTGTCATAGAGTCATACAGCACGGAAACAGACCCTTCGGTCCAACCAGTCCATGCTAACCATAGTCCCAATCTAAACCAGCCCCACCTGCCTGCTCCTGGCCCATATCCCTCTAAACCTTTCCTTTCCTATTTGTACTTATCCAAATGTCTTTTAAACATTGTAATTGTACCCGCATCCACCACTTCCTCAGGAAGTTCATTGCACATGCAAACCACCCCCTGTGTAAAAACATTTGCCCCTCATGTCCTTTTTAAATCTCTTTCCTCTCACGTTAAAAATGTGCCCCATCGTCTTCCTGTAAGGGTTCCCTCTCCCACCCTGAGTTATCTGCCAAAGACAGGTTTGACCTATACGGCCATGATCTCCACCAGAGGTAGGTTCCACATTAGCCCCTGCTAGAACTCGAATTGAACCCTGTGTTGTTGCTACCATGCTGGCCAACTGAGCCAGTTCAACCCTAGGAGTCCATGTTGCTGTCCCTTTACACACATGAACTAGTCTGGAGGTATAAATAATGATAGCAAAGTCTGAAATTCATTTCCATCAAGAATCTCATTCTTACCACCATGTGGGTTGGAAGGTTTTAGAATTTGCCATTCGACCTGTTTGCCTGTGTTTTGAAGGCACTTTCCTTGACTGTTAAGTCCTCCAGCTTTTTGCTCAGACACTACCCACTGCTACATAGGACTGCCGAGCAGAATTCTGAACAGAAAAACAACAAGCTGCATTTCTACAGCGTCTCTCTCACCATCAGAATACCCCGCATGCTTCACAGCCAATGAAGCACTTTTTTTTTGAAGTGCAGTCCTAGTTGCAATGTAAGAAACATAGCAGCTAATGTGTACACAGCAAGATCCTGCAGACAACAATCTCACAATGACCAGAGATTGAGGGACAAATGTTGCTCAGGACACTGGGGAGAACTCCCCTGCTATTGTAGAGTCGTAGAGATGTACAGCACAGAAACAGACCCTTTGGTCCAACTCTTCCATGCCGATCAGATATTCTAAATTAATCTAGTCTCTTTTGCCAGCATTTGGCCATAACCCCTCGAAATGCTTTCTATTCATGCACCCATCCAGCTGCCGTTAAATGTTGTAATTATACCAGCCTCCACCATTCCTCTGGCATCTCATTCCATACACGCACCACCCTCTGTGTGAAAATGTTGACTCTTAAGTCCCTTTTATATCTTTCTCCCTCACCTTAAACCTATGCCCTCTAGTTTTGGACTCATGATTTTATAAACCTCTCTAAGATCCTCCCTCAGCCTTCGATGCTCCAGGGAAAATAGCCCCAGTCTATTCAGCCTTTCCCTATCGCCCAAACCCTCTAACCCTGGCAACATCCTTGTGAATCTTCTCTGAACGCTTTCAAGTTTCACAACATCTTTCCTATAGCAGGGAGACCCGAACTGAACGCAGTATTCCAAAAGTTCTTCAACATGGTGCCGTGGGATCTTTTGAACCTTCTGAGAGGGTAGAGAGTCCCTCCCTTTAAAATCTCATTTTGAAAACAGCATCTCCGACTGTGCGGCATCTGCTTAGTGCTGGATTGTGTGCTTGTATCGCTGGAGTGGAACTATGAACTGTGAACCCAAATTGTATTTGGACTGCAGGTTTACACTGCTGCTAAACATGTTGCATAGAGTAAACTTATCCCGTGTTATATAACTGTCCATATCATGTGATGCTGCTATTCTGAGGGAAAACAAAACACTGTAGTCACTGAAAGGGGAGGGAAGAATAGTTGATACATGTAGCTATCTGTCAGTAAGATGTCCAATTCAAGTTGATGAGAATTGCACACCCACATGCAATGTTTATGTTTGGACAATAGTTCTCTTCCCTCAGTAACACATCCCATTTACCAGAGTCCAGGGGGCTTGGTGGAGAATGAAAGTGCTGAAGCTGAGGGTAGCTGTTGGAAATTAACTTACAGAGCCACTTAGAATCATAGAATCCCCACAGTGTGGAAGCAGGCCATTCAGCCTATTATGTCCACACTGACCCTCCCGAAGAGCATCCCACCCAGACCCACCCCTCCTACCCTATCCCTGTAGCTCTGCATTTCCCATGGCCAATCCATCCTAACCTGCACATCTTTGGACTGTGGGAGGAAACCGGAGCACCCGGAGGAAACCTGCACAGACACGGGGAGAATGTGCAAACTCCACACAGACAGTCACCCAAGGATGGAATTGAACCCATGTCCCTGGCACTGTGAGGCAGCAGTGCTAGCCACTATGCCACTGTGCCATGCCATGTGCTTCTTGCTTCCTGCCTAGCAACGACCACTCTATCCGTTGGCATATGGATTTTGTAGGGTTATATGGATGAGACGTATGGACCACAGTGATGAGCCTGTACCTCCAAGATTCCATGAGTGAACAAGGCTGGCTGGTCAGATATAGATCTACCTGGCCCATGTATCGGACAATCAAGTCTAGCACAGACGGGGTTGACTTGTTTGTGAGCCTTCTGTGCTAAACTGTAGTTGTCTCAACCTCAAACAGATCCTGCTTACCTCTCCTCCAAGCCGTCATTAGTTATATTCCCTTCACTCCACCTTTTCTCAAAGCTCTCATGTCAATGTCTGTCCTCCTCCTACAACAGTTAAAAATGGTAGCATCCAATCAGGAGGTTATCAATAATATCCCTGTATCTATTTCTGCACTACATTTCTATTACAAATGGTGCAACCATAAATAATGCAGCAAAGAACTCCAAGGTAGGAACAAAGGCATGATAATGTTTAATCTTTTCAAGTTCATGAGTTGTTTAAAATATGATATTACATTGGGACTGTGAGCTGTTCCAATTATATAATGAGGGAACTTTTTCTGAGCTTTTAAACATTTGTTCAAATAAAGAAAATTTAAGGAGACAGAAAGCTTTAATTGTATATCATCAAAAGGGATACGTTTTTATCAAACTGAAAAGGCAATTTGATAGAAGAAACTTTATCTTTTTGAGAGATAACTCCCACCACATGGCCACTTCCTTCAATCTCTACAGAAACAAATTTGTCTCTTCATTCTATTCACACCAACTTTGTCAATGCCCCTCCCTTTAAGTGAAAATCCTTTTTCTTGACGTTCTATCTTATTCCTCATTTTTCTCTGCAAAATAGTGCCTATTCAAGTTTATGGTGATGGCGGGTGTGAATGTAGCTTGTGAAGTGACAGTTTTTGGTTATTCTTTCTGGATTTTTATTTATATTTTTGGGCCTATTTGAGCGTGCTTTTGGAATTCACTTTTAAAGATAATTTTCTATATTTTCTGTAAACAGTAAAGAGTTCTCCCAAGTGTCCTACGCGTCTCCCAAATTCCTCAATCAACATCACAAAAAAAAGATGATCTGGCCAATATCTTATTGTTGCCAGCAAGGACTTACTGCAGTGTAAAAATTAACTACATTGTTTTCTACATTATAACAATGACAATTCTACATGAGTTGGCAGTAAAGGCCCTTGGTTTCCCATTTCTGTTCCAGCCAGATCATATAACAGACCAAGCATTTGATACAAATAATACAAAAGGTGCTGTTGTAAAATTATTGAGGTCAAACCCATTGTGTACATACAGAGTACATTATACACAAGTAAAAATGTGGGATCTATTTTCAGGTTGAGAAAATATTCAGAAGCTTGTCATTGTGAGTATCTGGAACAATTTCTTTATTCATTTGTGGGATGTGGGCATTGCTGGCTTGTCCAGCATTTATTGCCCATCCTTAATTGACACATTGCTGTGAGCCTGGAGTCACATGTAGGCCAGAACAGGTTAGGATGGCAGTTTCCTTCCCTAAAGGATATTAGTGAACCAGGCAGTTTTTTCCTGACAGTCGGCAAAGGTTTCATAGTCATCATTAGGCTCTTAATTACAGATTTTCATTGAAATCATATTGCACCATCTGCTACGATGGGATTTGTACCCAGGTCCTCAGAATATTGCCAGGGACTCAGGATTAATAATTGGGTGATAAATCCACTGGGCCATCGCCTCCTTGAATTTGGAAAGGATCAATGGAATCGCAGCCAATTCCAGGCGTGTCTCAGTTAGCTGATCAAACCGACTTGTCAAGCTTCAGGGATCTTTTGATTTTTGTCAAGATTTGGATGTAGAGTAAGAATTAAGGCAGCTCTACATTTATTTTTAGAATTCTTATATCTCTGTCATGTTCAAGTTGACAGGACAGCAGAAGTTCGATCACATTTTGTACGCAATCAGTCCTGATTTAGGATATCCTCACAAGCCGCTCCAATTGACCACGTGATTGGCTGTCAACGGATTTTCCAATTTCTGGGCATTTTCAACAATACATGCTCCTTGCTACTTGCAAGCTTTGTTCAGTCAATGCCCCAGCAGAGTCTTGAAAAATACCAAAGAGAACAAAACTACAACCAAAAGTGGGGAAATGGGATAATAATAGTTGGTTTGGTTAGCAATACATCAGAAAACTGCAAAGTAGAGTCACAGGTAGACAGGATAATGAAGAAAGCGTTTGGTACGCTTGCCTTTATTGGTCAGTGCATTGAGTATAAGAGTTGGGAGGCCATGTTGCAGCTGTACAGGACATTGGTTAGGTCACTTTTGGAATACTGTGTTCAATTCTGGTCTCCCTGCTCTTGGGAGGATGTTGTGAAAATTGAAAGGGTTCAGAAAAGATTTCTATGGAGTGTATGGAATGAGCTGCCAGAGGAAGTGGTAGAGGCGGGTACAATTACAACATTTAAAAGACATTTGGGCAGCTAAATGGATAGGAAATGTTTACAGGGATAATGGGCCAAGCGCAGGCAAATGGGACTAGTTTAGGAAACCTGGCCAGCATGGATGAGTTGGGCCGAAGGGCCTGTTTTGGTGCTGTATGATTTAAGCTTTAATAGTAAGGACAATAGAACAGTGAGCGAAATGCACTAATGTTTCTCTGGGTCAGCTCACAGCTTCACTGTTCGGAAGAAGAATGTAGCGGCATAGATTGTGTCACAATAGCTAGGTTGTTTTTGTCTATTTGTTTTAGAAGGAGTCATCCATAAAGAAGGTGCAATATCTTGGGGCAATAGAATATTTTCTACTTTGCATTTAGTGTTGGCTTCAAACACGCCCAGTGTGACATTCATGATCAATGTACAACACTTCATGCATTGCTGTGGGATTGAATCTCAGTCCCATCCTCGCTCAGGTGCTGCAAACTGCACTGGTATGATTTATATATTCCCCATACTCTCATTATGATCTCTCCCAATGGGACTTCTAACTCAGTGGCAATTGCCTTCATTTGGAGGGCCAGCTTTATGCTTTTCATGCACATCTGCTGAGAAATGGATTCAAATTGGCTCAATTCAGTTTCATTTAGGACCTTTTATCAGCCATCAGCAAGAGAAGGCTTTGATCTGTCTTGGCTAGATTCAAATCCAGGTCTTAGTGATG